ATCCAGGAATTAATGGATTGTGAAAAAGCTGGCAGGATATCATTTAAAAAATAGAATTCCTAGTGTACAAGTGATGAAAAGGTATCAGAATTCACATACTTGGTGTCTGATACCAACATAATACTCCAGTTTGAACGTTTGGTTTGTTAATGCTTGTCCCACAGAGAAATGAAAATAAAATTTAGTAAAAAATTATCGCCATAAAATAAAGGTTATTTTAGTGGTTTTGTTCATCATGTAAAAGCAATATTTGCCTTTAAAAAACACTAACATCCATGTGAGAAAATAAGGATTTAATGACCATGCTTAATGTGTACAATTGATGATCACTCTTTAAAAGGATGCTGGTATTTTTATATAACACAAAATTCTTATGTTGAAAAACAGAAGAGCTTTTAAAAAGTATTTGAAACTTGCCTTAATAATATTTATGCCATCTCCCTAACAATTTATATTTTTAGAGGCACAGGACCCTAGTCAACTACTGATCGAAAACTTTAAGGGAAGTATCTGTAATTCTTACTACAAAAGTTTAAATTAAATCTGTCTAAAGATGTGCTATAAATCAAGATTTTCTCTTCAGCGATGAAATTTTACACATCAGAAGATACTGTCTTGTGTTTCATGGTTCTGGGTAATTACTAGATGCCAGTGGATAACTTAAACATAGCTTAGATTCATTGACATTAATGTGTGACAAGCATTACAGAACATATTTAGTAATTTTAAAGAAAAAGTAAAAGGATTTTTGAAAAATCAGGGAAAAGTGCTATGGTGGTAACAACATAATTTTTTGACATAAGGTAAAAATGTTTCATAAATCCTAATGATCAGAAATTCAACAAGCTAAAAAGGAACACAGGCAATTTAATTATTAGATGTGTAATTAAGGTAAGAATTAATAAGGCTAGATTTTTATTCATCTATTCAAGGAAACATCTAATTTTCACATTAACAAGAAGCATCATTGTTTTCTGACAACTTAATTTAGATAGATTACGTTGGTAAGTTTTATATTTTCCTGTTATTTTAAGAAATAAGATGACAAGTTCATTAAAATTAAAAAAATATTGACAATATGTTATCATTAGTTTCTTGTGACATTTACTATTTAAATTTTTGTATTTTGATTTTTCATGACACTGCAAGTTCCCGGTCCCTATAAAAGTACATGAACTAAGAGACTGAGCATCAGTTGCTCTCAACAGAAAGAAGGCTTTTCTGAACCATATGTCTCCTCCAACCCAGATCCCCTTACACATCTCTCCACCTCTTAAACTACTTCACACTTCACAATGTCAGGTGATTGTCACTCTGCCCCATTAGACTGTAAGGGCTGTGTAAGGGCAAGGCCCAAGCCTATCAACGTCATCGATATATCCCTGCAGTTATAGGATAACCAATAAATGACCAAAGAATAAACAAATTAATGTGATGTATTAGTCTATTTCTTTGTTTAATAGCTTCTTGGTCTTTGTCTTTTATTGCATGCTGTTTTAGATACAATTAAATAAGAGACTGGTATAATGTATATAATATTTAATTTCATTAACTTAATATTTAAGTGTTATTAATATTAAATAACATATTGATGTATGTATCAGTTATGTGCTTTTTCTAAGTAGACATTTTATAAAATTGCATCTTCATCATATTAACTACTCAAATATAACCTGAATAATTTAAAATACATGCAAAATGATATCAAGACTGAAAAATGTGATACTCAGTTCAACAAAAAATGTTCAACAGCATCCACCACAGAATAGTTTTCAAGAAGAGCTTTTAAAATCTTGACAAGTGTCATTTCGATCCCATGTGCCTTTTTGTTCAACTATCCTTTCTAAAATCTTTAGCCACTGAATATAAACATATTTAGAAGTAGTGCCCCGATAAAGAATTAAGACAACACAATGTAACCAAAAAGACAATGAAGCCCAAGATGAAATCAGAACAGTCTTGTCTATACCAAGGAGATTAAAATTGTGAAATTGGCAAAAGTAGGGTCAGGTATATGGCAATGGAATAAAAAGAAGAAAGTGAGAAAAAAAATGAAAATGAAAGAACAAATTGGAACAGTAGTTGATTTTAAATCCTTAAACAACTGAAGTTCACCAACATCAAATATAGTGTTTCATAACTAGCTCATTTTTATGCCTCTTGGGGATTTTTTTTCTTTTATGTCTTTAAAAATATTAAACTTATTAACTTTTTAAAAAATCTTTTTTAGGTCACCAGTTCACTTCAATTTGAAACAGAGTGTTGGTGAATTTCCAAAGCTCCTCCAGAGTGCATTAGTGTCAAAAACCTCCAAAGCAGCTTTGAATGACCAGCCATGAAAAGATACAAAGTATTCACACCATGGACCCAGAGCACCCTGCACACCAAGTCTGTACTTCCCTCACACAATGGGTATTGTGGCTTCTGCTGGTGGGATTTCAGGTTGGTGCAGCCACTATAGAAGTCAGTACGGAGAATACTCAGGATACTGCAAATTCACCTACCATATGACCCAGCAATTCCACTCCTGGGAATATAGCCAAAAGATCTAATACATTCACATGAGAAAGCAATTTCCAGCCCTGTATTCATTGCAGCACAATCAACAATCTTTACAAAAACATGGAACCAACCTAGATGTCCACTGAAAGAAGACTGAGTAAAGAAACTGTGGTACATTTACTCTATGGAATATTACTAAGCTATTAAAAAGAATAAAATTCTATCACTTGCATCCAGATTAGCTCAACTGGAAACCATTTCGATAAGCGAAATGAGCCAATCCCAAAAGGATAAATACAATATGTTCACTCTAATATAAGACAACTCCCATTGAAATACAAAACAAAACAAAAAATAAAATAAAGGTGAATAAATACCCACGTGTAACTCCACAAACAAAGGATGTAAAGGAGACCGGAAACAAGAGTAACAGAAATCAAAGAAAATCAACAGAATGCATCTCTAGTAAGAAAGGAAAGCAGAGTAGACTCCCATTGAAACTTCTAAATGTACCTAGACAACGAAAATTAGAATCTCTACTATTGCCAGTGCCAACAGTGTCATGACCCACGTAAAGAGCAGAAAGTTGGACCTATTCTTCTTTCATCGTTAATGTTAGGAGGTAGCTCTCTCATGATGATCTTCATTAATATGGTTGAGGGGTTGTTTTGCTCTTGCTAAGGAATGGTTCTTTCTTGTTTCAATTTGTAGTGTTTTGGTTTCAAATCCAATTATGTTTGCTGTGAATTTTTACCCTTTTGCACTTCATAGTCATTTGTGTATTTTTCAGTAAGTCCTTGTGATTCATGAATTAAGGACCTCTTTAATCCATATGAGACATTTTGATCATTTGTAAGCACCTGGTGTTGTAAGCATCCCTTTCAACAATGTTTTTGCTACATCTCATGGGTATTGATGTTCATGTTTTTATTGTCATTCCTGTTTTGTCATTTCTTCAATACCACATGGTTCATGCAGTAGCATCATTTTCTTCAAGGTTTTTGATTTTCTTTTTCATCACTTTAGCAATGCATTGGTCGTTCTGTAGCACATTGTTTAGCTTCATAATGATATGAATTATATGAATTTTCTATTTTTCTCCCTGTTATACATTGTGGTTTTCTGGCTCTATATTTAAGGGGAAATATAAAAAGTGTAGCAGAGACTGACATGTCCAGATGTGAAAACATACCAAAGTATACATTTCTGCATCCAGACCAAAGATGGATTCCCAGTGAAACTGCTAAATTTATCCTGACAGTAGGATGCTGGGCTCTCTGATATTGTCCGTGTCAAAGACGTTGGAAAACACTTCAGTAGCAACATGATGGACTTATGACTGTTTATGGATATTACTGATTGCTATACTAGAGGGAAAATCAGTAGAGAGGGACTGGATTGGGGAGTGGTATGGGAAATCCCCAGAACCTATAGAACTGAATCGTATAATAAGAAATAAACTGCCTGCAATTCTGTCATTCTCTACACACACACACACACACACACACACACACACACACACACAAAGAAACTCTTCCCTGACCATTAAACTACTTTTATCTGTTTATTTTGCTTAACCAAACACTCTATGAGAAACTTATCCAGACTTCTTTCTCTTTTCTTTATCGTCTACCTCATTTCATTCAAAATAGGCTTCTGCCCTACCCAATACCTACTGGATTCTCATCAAGGTAGTTAAATCAAAATCAAGGTAATGTTCTATTGTTTTTTCATATCAAACCTCAGCAGAATTTAACATGCTTCATAATTCCCTCATTCCTAAATAAAGTCCCCGGTGATTACAACTATTTTCATGGATTTAAATATTATCTATATGTTAATAGCTTCCAAATTTGTATGTCTCACTGATATCTTTTCTCTGTCTATCCCATTTCCTACTCAACACCTTTGGCTGACTATCTAATGGCACCTACCTTTCTTCTCACCCCATTCTTCATTTCTGTAAATAAAGTCACTATTTGAGACTTGGGACAAAGAAGTAGGATACATTTGTCAGTTTTATCTTTCCCTCACACTCAAAGTCCAATCCAGTAGTATCTTCTAGGTATTTGTTTACAAAATATATCCTAAATTTCATAATTTCTCATAATCCTAACCACATAGTCTATACAAACTAACCTCTGGCTAGATACCTCAACAACTTCATACGTACTTTGTCTCCCTTCTTATTCTGATAAAGTCGCATCTCCACATAGGCGTTAATAAATCTATATGCAAATTCCAGGCTTAAAAGTCTCCAGTATCTTCAAAGCATAAAAAAAAAAACTCCTTACCATGCTAAACAAACTTTCTGTACAGCCTCATGTCTATATTCCTCTGTTCCTCAAATGCACCATTCTGTGCCACATCAGGGACATTATGATTGATTGCTCCTGTTACGGCTGTAGCTGGGAGAACCCATGCTGAGTCAGGCTTCTTGCTTAAGATGCTAGCTCCCTATCCACCCCTGCCAAGTGGTGGGCAAATCCAGGGCTCACCTGCTTGTCTCCCAGTGACAAGCGCTGGGGTCTTCGGGGTCTAGATTTACTGACTAGGGACATCCCTAGATAAGGCCACAGTACGTGTAGGTGAGGAATGAATCTCCTGAGGGGCACTCAATTACAGGGCTACTGTGTTTGCAGGTAAATGAGGGGTCTGAGACCTAGTGGTTTGGAGGAGAGTTTGAAGATCTGCATGGGTCAGACTCACTAGCCCACTTGGGAATCCAGAATTGGTCTTGTTAGCATAGAATATTACCAACCACCAGACACCAGTTCAAATGAAACCTAGGGCTGGGGGCCTGCCTAGCAAAACTATGTCCCAGTACCTGACTGAATGTTGAAACAGGTGACAGGTCGCATTAGACAGGGCCATGACACTAACCAACACACAAGAGAACCAGGTCTGGGAGTAGATTCTTTGGGGGATATGTGGGCCAAATCCTATGGAAATACAAGTCCTGCTGGTTAGCTCAAGAGTTGGGGTAGTAATGAACTGAGCTAGGTGTGACTATGGAACCTGCCAACATGGGTACAGAGTAAGAACAGTCTGGGCAGGTCCAGCACCCACATGTGCATCCTAAAACAGGGTGTGCGATGTGCCAGACTGCAACATTCAGCAGCTCATACTAGGCCAAGATGGAGGAGCAGACTATGCCAGGCAAGGGCCTAGCACACTCTGGCATGTGTGAGATCTAGATCTGTGAGTGGACCAAGTGGGGGAACATGGGAAAGTCCCCCATTGGGTCATAGCTCTTACTGGTGAGTACATGGACCAGGCCTGGGAGTCAGGTAGGCTGTGCAAGGTAGCTCCAACCACTGGCTAGCGTGTAGGTTGATTTTGACAGGAGGCAGACCAGGCAGGGCCAAGCAAATCTTAGCTCACTAGCAAGTACAGAAACCAGGCTGGAGCACAGGTCATGCTGCACTAAGCTGTCACACCTACCAGCTTATATGAGTCAGGAATGGGAACAAACTGATCAGGACCAGGTTCCGGTACCCACCAGCAAGAGTTGGGAGTTGCACCAGGCTGGGTCGGGCCAGGATACAGCATCCAAAGGCAAAGACCAAGACAGGTGAGGGGCTATACCAAGCTGAGTCAGAGCAACCACTGGCACATGCAAGATCTGTACATGGAAACAGGCCTGGTTGGGGAGCAAAGGGACGCCCAGGCTGAGTTGTGGTTCCCACTGATGACTGCAAGGGCCAGAGTTGGGGCTGCTGTTTAGTCTGGGCACAGCTGGAGTATTCCTTGGCACAAGTGTGGGCTGGGTCTGGGGTATGCCAGACTGGGCTAGACTCCAGCACCCACTGGTGCTCGTGAGAACCAGGGTAGGTGTAGGATGAGCTGGGCTAGGTCTCTGACCCTACTGAGCCATGTGTGATCTATGTCTGGGTGTAGATAAGACTTGGCTGAACCGAAACACCCAACAGTAAAAACCAGAATGGGTGAAGGCCAGTCAGGAAAGGCTACTGTTCCTGCTAGGACAGGAAGGTGGACTAAGTAAGTAGGGCTGGCCCATGGGCCCACTGGTGTACATGAGATCTGACATTGGGAGAGGTTCTGTTGGAAGAGTTTAGGCAACTCCTCTTTTGGGACATGGTCCCTGCAGGTGAGTGCAAGAACCATGACAGGCAGCAGCCTGGACCAGACCAGAGAACAGTACCCACCAGTATACACTTGGTGCATGTCAGGGGCAAAACAAGCTGGGGCAGGCCATATCATCTGCTGGTGAATCCAAACACCAGGATGGAGTATGGGTTGGGTTGGGTTGGGTTGGGTCACATCACAAGCCAGTCCACATGAGGGCTAGGACTGGAGTCTAGATGGTTGGGCTAGGCTGTAGCCCACACCAGCATGAGCTAGAAGTGCAGGTGGGCACAGCCCAGCCACAATACAGCACACAGTCAAATTCCAAGTGAAGCGGGCCATACCAGACTGGACCACAGCACCCACCTAGCACATGTGAGATCAAGGGATGGGAGGCAAAATCCATAGTGGGAATGTGGAGGGCTCCCATGCTGGAACACCACTCCCACTGGAGAGTGAGTATTGGGATGGGGCAGAAGAGGCTGGGCAGAGCTACAATACCTTTTGGCCTCGTGTGAGCTGGATCAGGGTAAAGTCAGGCTGGGTTGACTGTTCCTACTGGTGCATGCCTAAGTCAGAGTAGGTGTGGGTTGGTTGGGGTTTATCTCAGTATCAGCTGGCAGATACTGGCATAGAGGGTGAATTCTGCCTAGTTAAACTGCAGAACCACCTGAAGAGTGCAAGATCCAGGAGTGGAAATGGACCCATTGGGGAAAGAGTGGGCACCTCCCTCCTGGGTTGCCACTCCCACTGGTGAGCATGAGAACCAGGACTAGACAGACTGGCATCCGCCAGCAGGTGTGTGGGGTGGATAGTAGAGCTGGTTGGGTTGAACTAGGCTTCACTGCCCATTGACATGTATGACAGCTGAATGGGATATGTGACAGACTGGACCAGTCAGCTGTACATACTGGCAAATATGGAAATCAGGGCAGGGGATGGGCCTGGTGGGGATTATTGCAGGTCGCTCCAACTAGGCTACAACTTCCCACTGGTTTTCATGAAGACCGAGTTTGTGGTGGGCAGGATCAGACTTGGTTGCAACACCCATTGGTTCATGTGGAAGGCAGGGCTGGAAACAGAACTGACCCAGCAATTGTATGTGGATAAACCAATTGGGGCAACGGACTACACCAAACCCTGCATTGGCAAGCACACACAGGAATCAGTTCTGGGATCACCTCAGATGAAATTTCTATAGGGATCCCCACCAGCTAAACTGCTGGACTCAGAACCCCAATGATAGAGGTAATTGCAGCTTCCATAGTCTAACCGTGGAGTGCATGAGTCTGAGCTAGGCCTCCTCAGTGGCTTACATGGAGCAGTAGACAGCACATCCAGGTGTACATGGAGGATATGGCAGTACACCAGAGTCAGTAGAGGATACCTGATACCATGACAGAGGACGAAGGACAGAACAAATCAACACCAACACTGCCAACGCCCAAGCCAAGTGTTGGCAGTGAATAACTGGGGAAACGGAGACTCTAGCTTGGACTATTTCAAACAGTGGATTCAGGAGAGATTTCATCGTGCTTGGAGTGGCAACATCAGCACTAATTCAGAACTGCTAAACTATCCAAACCAGCTCAGTAGTACCCTTAAGAGCATGCCCCACATTGGGAACCCTGGGTTTGTGTTGGGTGGCTGCCTTCCATCCCAGGGTGCAGAGGCATTTGGGAGGCTGAGTGTGGCTTCTCTCCTTGTCTCCCCTCTTCTTCCAGATACAGGAAGGAAAGAGAATGTGGAAATCATGATCTCACCCACCTTCCTGTAGCCCTTGACACTAATCACCCTAATCAACTATGTAAAAATCATCAAAAATAAAAATAATTAATAATTTTTAAATCTAAGAAACAAGATTTTTTGAGTGAGTTTTTCATTAATCAGGCTGACACAGGGGAATGAAAGTGAAGATACAAGAAAATGGCAAAGAATCCATCTTCTATACAATGAAAATGGGCTCAAATTCCTTTTTTAAAATCTATTAGTCAATATTTGGCAGAAAATAAGCATGTGTATTATTTGTTCCACTAATTCTAATTCTAGGAGTTCATAAAAAAAGCAGGCATATGCAATATTGTCTGTATAACAATACTGATTGATACCTAGCACTATTCATTGTAGTAAAAGTTAAATAACCTACATGTCCAAAAGTAGTTTTATGTAACTATGACATGAGATGTGATCAGCTTTTGCCATATAAAAGGGACATTATTGAGTGCCTCTACCAGGAAGAAGTTTCAGTTATCTGCTCATATTTTCCCTTTGCTATCATATGAACAGAACACTAATAATGCTCATTGATAAGGTCACCATCTATATAATTCACCAACTCACTCTCCTGACCATTCTCCCCCCCCCCCACCCTCTTTAGAATACTCTCTCTCTCTCTGTGTCTCTCCACCCACCTCATTGGCATACTGTCTTTCTCTGAAAGAACAATTATTTGCTATTCTCCAGCCATGCAGTTCTTCAGTCTCTCCGCTTTGGGTTGAGTAAGTTCCAGTCTCATAGCCTCATGTCAAAATCATCTTCCTAAATTTAGCCTTATGGATTATAACATGTAGACCAGATTTTAATTGCTGGCTGGTTTCTATTCCCAAGAGTTTACACAGTGTAATACATAGTCTTACTCTGCAAGTAGTGAAACTGAAGAAAGGATTATGGTAAATAATAACACAAGCTGCAAAATAATACAAACAAAAAGAAACAGTATGAATATATATATACATATATATACATACATGAATGTCTACATGTTATGTAAATGTCTAGAAAGTATTATTAACAGCATTTATCCCAAGTTTTGGTAGTGAGACTTTATACTTTAAAATTTAAGTAATTTTACATAGCATTTATTCACTTAAGCGACAACTCCTACAGTTAAAAAAATGAATTACATTAATTAATTGCAGAACAGAAGAGCTGTTTTCATAAAAAATAAAGTGAGCAGGTGACCTCATGGGATGTGATTTTCTTTTCTACTATTGCAAACAGTATGTCTCCATAATTAGACATGTGGATATACACAATCCCCCAGAACATTATAAAATAAGGTCAAGTAAACATGGAGCTACTGAAATGAAAATACTGTGACAATAATTAATACTCTAACTGTAAGAAACTGTATGGATGAGGCATGAGACAGTAAATGATGAGCAACAACAACAAAGGACTACATTCAACATGTACAACATGAAAGTAGGCTTAAACATTTAAAGTTAATTTCTAAGTTGTAATTTTATGGGACACACTCATTCTGTTAATCTGGGGCAGGATCCAATGGGAATATTCATAACCGAGAGCTTGGTAGGAACATCAGTGTGCGAGGAGGCAAAGAGCCTCATACCACGCCCTCCCTGAGCATTATGCTAATCAGTTCCACAGTCTAATTTCCCTCAAGGATTGATGAACAAGTATAAAATAATAGAAACTGACAGGAAACAGATGACTGAGGCCCAATTTAATCTCATTTGAAGAGACAATATACCTTAAATTGATCTTCAGAAAGTACAGGTTATGAATAAGATAAAGGAAATGTGCTTTTATCATTTGACTTTCTTAAGGTAAAAGATTGTTATAAAGTATAACTTAAAGACATAATAATTTAGGGTAATTTATACTTTTGGTCTTTAATAATTGAACTGTTATAAGAAAAAAATGAATATAAATACTTCTGTAAATAAACCTAAAGCAAATTAAGTGTTTATACATACATACATACTATTTTAAAAAATTGGTTTCAAACAAGTCAAACGCAACTGGTCATTTTAACTTTTTAACTGTATATAAAGAGTTATGTATATATATGCATATATATATACACACACACACACAAATGTCGGTGAGCTTTTACATCAAATTCATATCAAAAGTGGGTTAAAATTTCCATCTTTTAAAAAATTAAATTTACCCTAAGCAAATTCAAAAGTAAATGTGACTAAAATACAAATTTCTGTTCAATACTAATAATGAAATTAAAGGTTGTGATATCTTAAATGTATGTATGTATATATGTATGTGAGACACATGCATAATGTCTATATGCATGTCATGTGTACATGTACTTACATAGTCCACATTTGACCCACATTTTCAAATCTTTTTAACTGTCATTTAAAATTTGACAGCTACTTCTGGGCCTAAAAATGGAAACAGCAAGTCCCATTTTTACAGCAGGCCTTTTTTTTGTTCTGGAAAGAAGTTTTGGAACAGCCTTTATTAATCTCATCAGCTTAAGGCAAATAAGGAGAGGGGTGTCACAGGGATTTATCTGTGGCTTGACAAAGCTGCCTGTCCCATACCTCTGGCACACAGAGTGAAGGAACATGTAGGGCAGAAAGTGGGGGAGTTCCCAACCCAGTCCCTTTAGCAATTAGAGCTGTTAGCACAGCTTCACTAATGCACTGAGATGGTCCCACTAGGATGTATTAATATGAAAGGACATCAAGAAACTTCAAAAAGAAAGAATCCCAGATAAACAGGGAAGCTCCTACTAATCTAGGTAGAAAATGAGGATAATGAAAGATGTGGACATCATTTGCCCCTGGTTTCAAAAGATTGCTGTGGAAGAGATCCTTAAGTAGATGACTAGCACAGATACACAAATATCCTACTGCTCATGAACTGGAAAGTTTAAAATCAATGGTTGATTGATAGGTATACAAACCCTGGTGTGAATTTAGAACCTGTGGATGAGTTAAATACTGCTTTTAACCTTTAAGAAACACTTGGACTTGCTTGACTACAGGTGTAGACAGTACTCATGTGTTAAAGGGGCAGATCAAGTAAATAGTATTTGGGGAGTGAACCAGCAGGTGGATAATATTCTCTCTTTCTTTCCTCTCTCTTTCATTGATAGATAGGTAGATAGGTAGATAGATACCTTAAAAGCACTATCTCTGAAATAAAATATCTAGATGTTATATATGTAGGAAAATAATGCACTTTTATACATGTGTCTTATTGCCTACATACTGAAGATATGCTGCTTAACAAACCTTTATACTCAATTCAAAGGTTACTACTATTTCTAAGAAAACTTGAAAATAATAAGTAGTAAAACATAGCCATGATAAATTATCCAGCATTTGACTACATTTGTAATATACATGAATGTCTTTACAAAAATGAAAGCCATTCAAGTAATGCCACTTCATTATTTTAGAAAAGAATATCAAAAAATGCATGCAGAACTAAACTAAAGGAATAATTATTTTCATAACGTGCCCTATAACTCTGTCCATGTCTTCTAACAAAGGATATTTGTCCTGTACTCACCAAGTGGCTATTATTTGAAGATTTGTGTTATATTTTCATAGAAATATCAGCATTACAAAATACAAAGATGTTTCCCTGCAAAGTATGAACTCATTAAATGCATTTTTGTCTTGTACTTTAAAACAAAATATGTCATAAAACAAAGATTGTCAAGGCAGAAAATATAACTAAAGGATTATGAGAATGTTGGAAGAAAAAAAAAAAGCAGAGTATCCTAAAGTCCTCA